CCTTCTAGACTGCCTTTCTATGCTTACCGAGTCATCTTCCCCTTTCTGTGAAATGTGGAATACTTTCTGTGAAATACCCACATTATAGGTGCTTACTAGGCTTCCTTTGAGCCATTCAGTCTCTTTTTTGCTCAAGGGATATCTTCCTTTGTTCAAATTCTACATGTACTTCGAAGACCAGCTCAATACCCTGTACTTGTTTCCTAGGGTTCACACAACAAACTACCACATTTGATGGCTTGAAACAATAGCAATTTAGTCTCTCACAGTTCTGGAGGTCAGAATCTGAAACCAGGTTGTCAGCAGGGCAGTACTTCCTCTGAAAGCTCTAGGGGAGAATTCTTGCTTGTCTCTTCCAGTTTCTGATGGCTCCAGGTATTCCTTGGCCTGTGATTTCAGGACTCTAATCTTTGCCTCTGTCTTCATGGGGCCTTCTCTGTGTGTTCTCTTCTAAAACACTTGTTGTTGGACTTAAGTGCTGTCCAGGTAATCCAGGTTGATTTCATCTCAAGGTCCCTAACCTAATTACTTTTGCAAAGCACCTTTTTCCAAATATGGTCACATTCTCAGGTTCTAAGGCTTAGGAGGAGGACATATTGGTTTTGGGACCACCATTTAGCCCACTACAATCCCCAATTCCTCTGAAGACTATCCCCTAGACCTTTCCTTTGAGCCTCTGTTCACATCTCCTAAGGCATTTTTGACATTCTAGCATAGAGTGTATTTTAGCACTAGGGCTAAGAGTGTGGGTTATAGAGTTAGATGTCCTGGGTTCAAATCCCAGTTCTGCTGCTTGTCAGCTGAACGACACTGGTCAAGTCACTTAACTCCTCTTGCCAGGGCCAGGACACAGTGAGGGGCTTAGGACACAAAATTTAAGGAGGCACTCATTCTCAGGACCTATCCTGCAAGTAAGATTTTCATGAGCTTCCTTAAATTTTGTACCTTAGGTTTCTCTTGACTTACCCTAGCCTCTGCTCTGACTCTTGTCTTGGTTTTCTAATCTGTGAAGTAGGGATAAGGACTTCCGAGCTGGAGGCATTGTTAAGAATTAAATGAGCAAAACAAGTAAAAGACTTAGCACAGCATATGGCATATAGCAAGGACTCAGTAAAGGGGAGTTGTTGTTTCTCTGACTAGACAGTAAGCTCCTGAAGAGCTGGTCTTCATGTCTCTTTTGTCTTTACATTTCTAATAACCTTAAATTGCCTAAACTTGGAAGCAACCACAATATCCTTCAGAAGATCAATGGATAAATAAAGCATCTGGACAATAGAATACTACTAATACTAATACTAATAAAATATCCAGACAATGGAACACTACTTAGTTTTACAAGGAAAGACCTATCGGGCAACCCTCTTCTGGGTTCCCTCCTGCTGCCAGGAGCTTTTCTATCTTCTGAATCAATTTATACCTAAAAAAGAAAGAAAGAAAGAAAGAGCTAACAAGTCATGAAAAGACATGGAGGAATCTTAAATTCATATTATTAAATGATCTAGTTGGTATGGCTGTCCCCTCCAAATCTCATGAAGTTGAAATGTGATCCCCAGTGTGGAGGAGGGCCTAGTGGGAGGTGATTGGGTCATGGGGGTGAATACCTCATGAATGACTTAGGGCCATTTTCACAGTAATGAGTGGGTTCTCACTCTGTTAGTTCACATAACCGCTGGTTGTTTAGAAGAGCCTGACCACTCCCTTAACTCTCCTGCTTGCTCTCTTGCCAGGTGGCACGCCTGCTCCCTCTCCTCCTTCCACCACGACTGTAAGCTTCCTGAGGCCTCATCAGAAGCCCAGCAGATGCTGGTGCCATGCAAAACCATGAGCCAAAATAGACCTCTTTTCTTTATAAATTACCTAATCTCGGGCATTTCCTTATAGTACTGCAAAAATGGACTGACATACTAAGTGAAAGAAGCCTATCTGAAAGCCTATCATATATTACTACATATACGATTTCAACATATGATGTTCTGGAAAAGGCAAAAATTTGGAGACAAAAGATCAGTAGTTTCCAAGGGTTAGGAAGGGGAGCACAGAGGAATTTTAGGGCAGTGCAATTACTCTGTGTGATGTAACCATGGGTACACGTCATTATACATTTGTCCAGACCTATAGAACGTACAACACCAGGAACGAGCCCTGATGTAAACTAGGGACTTTGAGTGATAATGACACCCCAGTGTAGTTTCATCCATTGTAACAAATGTACCACCCTGGTGGGGAATGTTGATAATGTGGGAGGCTGTGTGTGTGGGCGGGTAGGGAGTAGATGGAGGATTCTCTATACCTCCTGCTCAATTTTGCTGTGCACCAAAACTCCTCTAAACACACACACACACACACACACACACACACACACACACACACACACACACTACATTGAAAATTGCAGGTGGTCAATTATACTTGAGTGAATTAATGAACTTTGCTAAGTCTGAGGTAATTGGGTTGATAGTCTATAATCAGGCAAATAACCCAAGCTTCAAGTCCTTGGATCAAGAGTTCTCGAGCTGATTCATGCCCTTGTTTGTGGATAGTGTTTAGAAGGTTTAGGTGAAGTGCTTTGGACAGAGGGAAGGGAGCCCAAGCCTCAGAAAGTTTCTGAGGTTGGTTTTCAAATTAGAACCATGAAGGAAAGGCCCTGAAAGTGGGATACGTGAGCACTGGAAGGGTTGGCTCGTGACTGGAGAGCAGCAGCTCAAATGTGCAAAGTGGCTTTGGTCCATGTGTGTTGGTCCTACCAGGAATGGAGAGCTCCTTCTTGGTTACGCACTTGCCAGCTCCCTGGGAAGGAGATTCTTTCCCAGAACATGGAGACTATCTTGCATCTTGCCTGGAACTCTGTGAAACTCTTGGCATCGCCTGGCTTAGCTGGGTGCACCCCGAAACACCACATTTATTTGATATTGGGATAGATAGTCCTCTTTTACATTGCGGTTGGGACTCATTAACTCTCAATAAGGACCAACAATAAAGGAGGAGTTTTCTCCCTCTCTAGCAAAAAAAGTTTTTCTTTTCCTTGGATGGGCCACAGCTCCTGTAACTGATTTGCGCTCCTGGCACAGGATAGCATGTTGTGTGGTACCCTGAGGCTGGTGAGAAAGGGAACAGACTCAAGAATTCCTGGGTGGGAAGGCTCTTCCCCTGCATTTACCACAATTGCTAAAACGCTACGTTTAATAAACCAAGACTGGTCTATATTTGTGTGGAAACTGTGTATGTGTGGAATTTTATTTTATTTTTTTCCTTCAAGATGGCCATAATATGAGCCAGACTGTTGATGAGTCTAACGATTAGAAGCAGCCTCTAAATTCCCCACACAATTATGTTGGGCTCAATTTTGAGATCTTGTTCTAATAGTTCAAAATGTGTGGTGTTTATCTAGCAACCTCCCTAAAAGACTCACTTCCACCAGTGCCAAACACGTGCACTAGCCCTGCAGCTGCCCACTGCAAGGGCTGCCTCTCTAACCAACCATGGAGTTTAAGTGAAGCCGTCTGGAAGGGTGTTGGGAAGGTTCATTTTCGTAACTGCTATATTTATGTCCGTCATATCACTGTTAAATTGGCAAGCATGAGGCAGCCTTCAGTGTGGCTGAGCGTGTACAGTCACCATTCCTGGATGAGCTGTGTGCTTGGAGACAAGGAGCACAAAGAGGGTTCTTGGCTTCGGGAACTTGGCTTGATGTTTCTCTCCATCTGAGTCATGACCACCATTGCACCTGCTTCCTTTGGAGCCAAACTTGCACATTATCACCATTACTCTTTCATAGCATTAAAATTGCACTAATCTATGAAATCTGTCTTTTCCCTTTCTTTTGCTGCCACAGAATAGAGTCTCCAGGAGTCTGTGGGATGTGGGGGAGGGTGAAGAATACATTCTGGATCACTGTTTGAGAAATTTTTTTATTGCATTTGTTTTCAAGTGATTCTGGTAATGAAAGTATTATAGTTAAAGAGCAAGCAACCTTTTAAGCTGAAAGGCAATCAGATGGTAAAGGCCTCTGCTTTAGTCTGCTACATGGGAGGTGATCGTTACTCCCCTGCAAAGCTACTCTCAGCTTGTAGTATGGGATAGAAAGGCCCTTCCAGTATAGTTAGTGGTGTTCACAAAGGAACCACTGCCTTCAAAAGAGAGAAACTTGGACCTCAAGAATGAACTCATCACTTCCATTTATAGCTTATGTGAGCTAAAAGATCCTCAATATCAAGACATGGTTCCACACTCCCATTGTATCTGATTTGTTGTGAACCAGGTAATGTCCTTTTGTAAACTCTTGATGTCCAAGCAACAGGAAAGAAGCTGCACGGCAAGGACAGAACTGTCTAGACCAGGGGTTGGCAAGCTATAGGCCATAGGCTGGCCACTTGTTTTTGTAAATAAAGTTTTATTGGAACACAGCCATGCTCATTTGTGTACACATTGTCTATGGCCGCTTTTGGGCTACAGCAGCAGAGCTGAGTAGTTGCGACAGACACTGTGTGGACAACACAAACCCCAAAATGTTCACTCTGGGTCTTCACTAAAAAAAGTTTGTCTACCTCTGGTCTAGACAAATAGGCAGACGAGCCAAGTGCTGGCTAACGGTCCCCAACTCACAACGCCAAGAGCAGGACTTAGTTGGCTTTAGTTGTCCTGCACTCTGTAATTTTAAAAATCTTACAAGCCGGTATGACTAAAGCTCCTATTCACCATCCTTTGGAGCAGCAATATGGAAAGTAAAACTAGATATGAATATAGTTTATATATTATCTGGACTTTTTTTTTTGAGTCAGGGTCTCACTGTTGCCCAGGCTGGAGTGCAGTGGTGCAATCACAGCTCACCGTAGGCTCAATCGCCTGAGCTCAGAGTGATCTTTCCACTTCTGCCTCCTGAATAGCTAGGACTATGGGCGTGTGCCACCATTTCAGGCTAATTTTTTGATTTTTTTAATAGACTATGTTGCCCAGGCTGGTCTTGAACTCCTGGACTCAAGCAATCTTCCTGCCGTGGCTTCCCAAAGTGCTAGGATTACAGGCATGAGCCACTATGCCTGCCCTGGACTTCTAACGCATTGCCGGATTGCTTAAATGTGTATAAACCAGTGTCATTTTTCAAAACTTTTAATATAAATGTTGGTGGCTATTAAAGTACTGGCATTATGCTTGTGTCTATACAAAAATCTACAATGCTCAAAGCCACACACTATAGCTGTGAATGTAATCCTACTTGAGGTAAAATTCTTCAGTCTAATTGTTTTCCCAATCTTTGAAACTAGTTTTAAAAGTCACCAGAAATCTGTAGTTTAAGGCACCAAACACATTTCTCAGCTGAGCCTCCCAGTGCCAACATGCTGGACCAATTCAGTACAATGTGCCATAAATTATGACTGTGTTATCTGAATGAATGGGACACTTTCCACAATGGGAAGAATTGATACCAGGAGTTTGGGAGCCAGGCATGGGCTCTGGGTTATTTTTCATACATTGGTGATGAATTCAAGTCTCTCTCCTTTGCGGCCAGGCTTGGCCAGTCCGGTCAGGAGTGTAGGTTATGACAAAGAACAACAATAAGACCTGAAGCCATTAAGATTACAGTTTCCATAGCTCCGAGTTAAACAGCCTACATACATGCAAGACAGTTGGCTGGAACAATATTGGACAGACATGTCAGAAGGGATCTGGCGATTTCAAAATGTCATTAAGGATATTTGATGTTGGTGACAATGAAGACTACGTCTTTTCTTCTCATTTAAATATGTAGATCATAAATAACAGACATTATTGTGGATTCTACTTACAAATATGTCTTAGTAGATATGTGATGAATTGCAGCAGAAAAGTCATTCAGGCCATAGAAGCACTCAGGCTTTCTCTCGAGGCTCAGATCTGACCACCTGGCTGTGTTCTATGTCTACAGATTTAAGTGGCTAAATCTAGTTCTCTAACCATAACTCTCCTTTTACCTAGAAGAATTTACAGAGCTTGAGATAATGACTTGGGGAAGAAGGTGTGTAGTGAAAATATCACTAAGAACTTAAGGGTGATTTTTTTTTTGAGACTCGTTTTGAGCATTAGAACATATAAACCCATTTGATGAGATCTATAACAAATAACACATAAAGACACAAGGGATGACATTTTCCTTCAGTTTCAAGTATAATAGAATCATGCAGCTGAAGAAAATGACACCAATTTACATTTTTATTGAAGAATAAACATTGGCCCTGATTCTTCTTTTTTTCTTTCCTAATGCTTCATGAATTTACCTGTCATCCTTGTGCAGGGGCCATGCTAATCTTTGTATTGTTCCAATTTTAGTATAAGTGCTGCAGCAGCAAGCACAGTCCTAATTCTTATATTTTCTTTTTCTTATGCTTAAGAAGTCTACTGGCCAATGTCCTTTAGCTTTGATATACACTGTCACAGAATGCCATGTATAAATTCTAATTTAAAAGAGACCCTTAATTTTCAGAGGAGGATTTTGATAGCATGAGTTTTCAGAAAAGATGACTGGCTGTTCTAATTCAGGACTAGAAAGGTGAGCTTTTTATGGGGAGCCTGATAAAAAGTGTCCTAGAAAAGAATGAATGCGCTTAAGCCTTTCTTTGAGGAGCAGGGCTGTGGGGGCTAACGTGTCTTTTTAAAGTGAAGCAACTGACACTGTAAGCCATGTGGGAGAAGCAACCCATGTGTTCTGTGGCCAAACTGCAAATGTACATTTCTGTGCAACATTCCTGCTTGAGCAGCCAGGCTCAGATGAAGATTGAGCTGGTTAGATGATCACGGGGGAGAGGGCTGGCATGTGGGGGACACTTTAAATTACGTTCCATGAAGACATTAGACTGTCAAAGCTTAGGAAGGCCCTCACTGTCCATGGACACTGAGGTGGGGGAAGGGACCGAGGCGAACACTAGCACATGTCAGCATCAAATAGCTGCTGACACAAATTGAACATGTGCAATTTTTTAAAAAGGTGGTATCGAATAACAGGCCAACAGCCATCCCTCTCGGCATTCAGACCTCTTTCTTCTCTCCACTTTGGCTCTTTGTTGAGTCACTTCCATCAGGCAGAGTTCCATAGGATAAGCTATTTGAATCTGGTTGTATTTTGTCCAACATTTGCTTCCCTGTGGAGATAATAATCATAAAAAAATCTTCTGAGTTCTTACAGAAGAATAAGTCTTAATAATTTCTCTTCAATTGAGGCCACATTTTATCCTCCCTTTTAATATATGTGGTCACCCTCTTAAAAGAAGAGATAAATATCAAAGAAGAAAAGGCCCACAGATCTCCATGTCATGAGCTATGTGAGTGTGCACTGTCTCTGTGAGACAGTCACCTCCCCCAGCCTGCAGGATCCACATGGGGGCATGGAAATCAGGTTGGCTCAGTCCAGAGATTCACATGAGGCAGTTGCTCATCTTCAAACCTTTCTCCCAGGGTTCTGTCTTCTTTTCCACGTTTAGTTATATAACAAAAAATAGTTTTTAATAGTGGCTTCTAAAGCTACTACTGCGCCTATATATGGGGCTTTATGAAAGAAAAAAATAGAGCTAAAAATATTCAAACTTTATTTCCTACCAAAGAACCTCTAACCATGCAAGCCATCTCTCATGTACACCCTTGCTGTGGATGCCATCAAATGTTCCTGACTGAAAAGATGGCTCGAATGGCACAGAGGACACAGACTTCATCTCATAGGGCCACGTTTCTCTTAGGGATGGGCTTTACTTGTTTTTGTTTCAAGGGCATGGTGCTAAAAGAATGGTGGAGGAAGCTGTGATAACATCTCCACCCTTGTCCTCCCAAATTCCTACTAAAGCTGGAGACTGCTGGGGGTGGGTAGGTAGGGGAGGAGGTGAGGACACAGACTTTGCTTCTCTTGTCTGCATGTCTAAGCATGTTATTTCTCAGTGAGAACGGGAAAGAGGATGCGTGTTAGCTCAATCTGGATTAGTGAGGTGAGAAGGCGGCGAAGAAGCTACTGATGTTCTGGTGACCAGGATGCCCCACAGTGCACAAGCCACCTCAGGCTTCCCCAGGAATAATGTTCCTTAGCTGCCTAGCCTTCTGTCCTCTGATGTTCCTCCACCAATGGCTCTCCAGGAGGCAGGGGTCTGCCGTTAGTAGTCAGTCTCACTCTTTCCCCTATCCTTTTCAAATTTAAGGAAGCCCCAAAAAGGAAATCCTCCAAATCACCCAAGTCAAGAAAACATGGCCAGTTCTTTTATATCCCAGTGTTCTGTGCAAAACTGACACTCAATAACATTATTAACATCTACACTTAAAACATTACCTTTGGTTTCATCATCATCACTATATTTTTTGAGAGTAAGAGTTATGTTTTACATTAACTTGCCACCCAAAACAATACCAGCAGTTACTAACCTATACAGATAAAATTTTCAATGATAAATTAAATAATATATAATTTTACCAGGAATATTTCCAAGATCAATATAAGACTGCTGCAGATGTTCCTTTTCTCGATTTCTTGTGACCAAAAACACGCCAAGGAATGACAGAAAACACCTGTAAGAATAATGTTATTAAAGAACATGAAACAGTTCATGGTATTAAGTAACTGAGCTCTATCGTCTACATGATGACATGAATTCCATTGGTTTTGTTCATCCAGTTTCTCATGGTAAGCTGCCTAGAACTTGTCTTCATTGCTGTAGCCAATAATATTTGCGTCCAGAACCAAGACTTGGACAGTTTCCAATAACTTTCTGTCCCAGGTTTTTACCATCTGGGGGCTAATTCAGGCTCTAAACCCTTTGGGTAGACGCTAGGTCTCGTTTTCTACCCATGCATGCCCAGACTCATTATTGGCATGCAACACGAGTGAAAAAATAATTTATTCTTTAATTTTCTAAGAAATCTAATTGTCCTTGGCCATAAGAGTAGTCATAATTTCCAGACCTCAGAAGTTTGGCCTTGCCCAAATAATCTTATGAAATTGAATTTTTAAGATAGATGGTTTCCTACGTTGAAAATAGTCTAGGCTTAAGTTTGCAAAACAATGGTTATGCTGAATATCAGATTAAGAAGCGGCTAAGCATTAATGGGGTGCCACATGGAGCCGATGGAGGTGCCTATGCCCTGGCAGTATACTGTCAAAGTTCTGCTAGCAACGATAGCCACCAAATCTCTAAGGGGAGTTCAAGCTGGACACTCTGACATAAGAAAGGGATGCTGCCATCCTGATGTTATCATGTCCAAAGCAAGCGGCTTGCCCGTCTTGGCCTTATATTTTGGGTGACCCTAGAGGGATTGTAGTTCTCTAATTGAGATCTAATCTAGGGGTTCCCCAGGATGAGGCAGGTCTGATATACAAAAAGGCCGCAAGGTGACTATAAGGACCAGTAGATGTATCTCGACTTTGGCTGAAATTGAAAATCCCCAGTGTTTCAGAACCCTCAGAAGGATATCTAAATCACAAAGCCAAAGACACCAAGCCCTGTGTGCAGCAAGTTAAAAAATATGTTCCTCTTAGGAGTACAGGAAACTGATGTTTCTTATATTATTTTTCAATTTTCTATACCTCAGGTGCAATGCCAAAAATTCCCTATAAAACTAATAGAATTTCACATGCCTTACCTCTGAGACATTTACTCACCCAAAAAGATATATAAATACAGTGAGAAAAGCAGCACCAAGAAATTCCTGATAAAATATGATACCTGTAATAGGAATTGAAAACAAAATTGATTTTGAAGTAGGAACATTTATAATAGCTACACATTGTTTCACAAATTATGTTAATATATTATTTTTTCTAAGTAAAGTTACCCTTAAAATGTACATTCAGTAGCTCAGTTTTTAACATTTGTATGCTATACTTACATTTTAAATTATTCAAAAAGAACACAGATTTGTAGACCTTATACAATTATCGTTATGCTAAAATCAACATAATTGGCGTATCATTTGCAAACAGAGATTTCTTAGCCAGGCCAGGATTGTCCCACTGGAACATTCAAGAAAACAAAACTCTAGCGAGCATTTTCCACCTGCAGCTTAGGTCAGGGGTCGGCAGCCTGCCCTGAGAGTCTGGGTGAATTCTGGGGCCTTTTACATGTTAGGCCCACCTCGGGCCAGCTCTTGCTGCCCATGCTGTTGCTCTTGGCAATGCCTAGGGGTCTGTTGGCCTGGCCACATGCAGACTCAGGCGCTGGATCACACTCTAGCAACTGAAGTGCTACCTCAGCTCCCCTTCCCACAGCCCAGTCCCCTTACATCTTCTTCCAGTCTTCCCTTCTGGGGGAAGGAAAGCAAAGATGCATCATCTATTTTGATAGGATTTTTCTTCAATCCCCATTGGTCTCAATAATTTCTTTTGGATCTAAAGCCCCAAAGCATTCATAGAGTTTTTATTAAATAAGATATCTTTACATTGTGTATCACCTGGAATTACATTTCTGTATGTGTGTGTGGGGGGGGGGGACGGTTAGCCTTGCCAGCCAACACTTATTTATTGAGCGTCTGTGCCAAAAACTGCTCTAAGTGCTGGAGATACCATGATGAATGAGACAGAGTTCTGTTCTCAAGGAGCTTTCTCAGTACTAACCTTATCTCCTCACTTAGAGAATGAACTTCTTACAGGAAGAAGCCATGTTCAGTTCTAATGAATATTTGTTGAGTGAATGAACATTTCTGAAACATTTTTTATGTTGTTACATACTTCCTTGTAATCATTTTTATGTTTTCATGTTATTCATTTCTCTAAAGGCATTTCAAGTTGTTTCTAAATTTTTTTCTTTCATAAAGTAGCAGTGAACTCTGAGGCATACCTTGGAGATATTGTAGGTTTGGCTGCAGACCACCAATAAGTGAATATTGCAATAAAGTGAGTTGCACAATTTTTTTGGTTTCCGGTGTATATAAAAATTAAAATCTGTTATGTGTGCAACAGAATTATGTCTAAAAATGTTATAAATACCTTAATTCAAAAATGCTTTATTGCTAAAAAATGCTAATGATCATACGAGCCTGCAATGAGTCCTAAACTTTTTGCTGGTTGGAGGATTTTGCCTTGATGTTAGTATCTGCTGACTAATCAGAGGGGTTGCTGAAGGATGAGGTGGCTGTGGAAATTTCTTAAGACAAGACAAGAGTGGAGTTTGCCACATTGACTGACCCGTCCTTTCATGAAAGATTTCTCTGTAGCATGTAATAGTTTGATGGCATTTTACCCTCAGTAAAACTCCTTTCAAAATTGGAGTCAATCCTCTCAAACCCTGCCACTGCTTTATCAACTACATTTATGGAATCTTCGATACTCTTTGTTGTCATTTCAACAACGTTCCCAGCACTTTCCCTTGGAGTAGATTTCATCTCAAGAAACCACTTTCTTCGTTCACTCATAAAAAGCAACTTTCTCACCCATTCAAGTTGGATCATGGGATTGCGGTAGTTCAGTCACACTTTTAGGCCCCACTTCTAATTCTAGTTATCTTACGATTTCCACCACATCTGCAGTTAATTCCTCCACTGAAGTCTTGAACTCCTCAAAGTTAACCATGAGGGTTGGAATCAACTTCTAAACTCCTGTTAATGTGAATATTTTGACCTCCTCCTATGAATCATAAAACGTGGATCCTTTCCAGAAAGTTTTAATTTACTTCGTCTAGATCCATCCAATAATGAAAACCACAATCTATGGAGATATGGCCTTATGAAATGCATCTATTTTATTTTATTTTAAAATTTTTATTTTATTACAGAGATGTGGGGTACAAGTAAGGATTAGCTACACAAGTAGCTGCATGCAGGTCAAGTTTGGGCCACCAACTGGTTCTCACTTCCCCTGGTTTGGGATGAGGTATTCCTTGTGTTGTTATGTGCTTCCCCGCTTCTCTCCTTCCTTTCTTCCCTCCCTCCTTCCCCTGGCAGTGCCCAGCGATTGCTGATCCCCAAAATATACTTCTGAAATAATACATTTAAATAATAAGACTTGAAAGTCGAAATCACTCCTTGATCCATGGGCTGTAGAATGGATATTTTGTTACCATGCATGAAAACAGCATTCATCATCAGAGCTACTGGGTATCCAGGTGCGTTGTTAATGAGCAGTAACATTTGAAAGGGATCTTTTCTGAGCAGTAGGTCTTAAGAGTGGGCTTAAAATATTCAGTAAACTATGCTGTCAATAGATGCTCTGTCATTCAGGCTTTGTTGCTCCATTTGTAGAACACAGGTAGAGTAAGTTTAGTATACTTCTTAAAAGCCCTAGGATTTTTTGGAATGGTAAATGAGCATTGGCTTTAACTTAAACACCAGATGCACTGGATTCTAACCAGATGGTTAGCCCGTTCTTTAAAGCTCTATAGCCAGATATTGACTTCTCTCTAGCTATGAAAGTCCTAGATGGCATTTTCTGCTATTTTGTCTACATTGAAAACTCTGTTGTTTAGTACAGCTACCTTCATCAATGATTATGGCTGGATCTTCTGAATAACTTGCTGCAGCTTCTCAACAAGCACTTGCTGCTTTACTTTACCTTGCAGTTTTATGCTATGAAGATGGCTTTAAACCTCATGAACTAACCTCTCACAACTTCAAACTCTTCTTCTGTCATTTCCTCACCTCATAAAATTGAAGAGTATTAGGGCTTTGCTCTGGCTTTAGGGAATGTTGTGGCTGGTTTGATTTTCTATCTAGACCATTCAAATTTTCTCGATATCAGCAATAAGCCTGGTTCATGTTCATGCATGTGTTCACTGTGGTAGCACTTTTAATTTCTCTCAAGAACTTGTCCTTTGCATTCACAACTTGGCTAACTGTTTTGTACAAGAGGCCTTGCTCAACCTGTCTTGGCTTTTGACATGCCTTCTTCATTAAGCTTAATCATTTCTAGCTTTTGATTTAAGGTGAGAGTTGTTTGACCCTTTCTTTCACTTGAACAATTAGAGGCCATTGCAGGATTATTAAGTGGCCTAATTTCAACATTGTTGTATCTCAGGGAATAGAGAGGCCGAGAGAGAGAGAGAGAGAGGTGGGAGTGGTGCTTGGTCTGCAGAACAGTCAGAACTCACACATTTATCAATTAAGTTTGCCATTTTTATATGGGCACAGTTTTTGGCACCCCAAAACAATCAATGGCAACATCAGGGGCTCATGCCTGTAATTCCAGCACTTTGGGAGGTTGAAGTGGGAGGATTGCTTGAGCCCAGGAGTTTGAGACCAGCCTGGGCAACATAGCCAGACCTTGAACTCTACAAAAACAAAAAAAATTAGCTGGGTGTGGTGGGGTGCATCTGTAGTAGCAGCTACTTGGGAAGCTGAAGCAGAGCTCAGGAGGTGGAGGCTGTGATGAGACGTGATTTCACCACTGCATTCTAGCCTGGGTGATAGAGTGAGACTCTGACTCTAAATAAATAAATAAATAATAAATAAAATTTTAACATCAAAGATCACTGACCACAGTTTACCATAACAGATATAATAATAATGACACATTTGAAATAGTGCAAGAATTACCAAAATGTGATGCAGAAACACAAAGTAAAACATGCTGTTGGAAAACTGGTTTCCATAGACTTGCTCAGTGCAGGGTTGTCATAAACCTTCAATTTGTAAAACATGCACTGCAAAGTATAATAAAATGATATATAACTGTATATAGTTTTCCTGGTATTTTAGAAATTTTATTGTCTTTAGAATGGGTTTCTAGAAGTGGAATTTCTCTTTTAGAGTAGAAACATTAAAAACAACTGTAGGGTGGGTGCAGTGGATTTTAAGCAGGTAAAAAACATAATCTGATTTATATTTTTAAAAAATCATGTAAAGCCTGTAATCCCAGCACTTTGGGAGACTGAAGTGAGAGGAATGCCTGAGCCTACAGGTTCGAGACCAGCCTGGGAAACTTGGTGAGACCTCATCTCTACTATAAATCAAAAAAATTAGCATGGTAGCAATGCGCCTGTAGTTCTGGCTACTTGGAAGGTTGAGGCAGAAGGATCTCCTGAGCCTAGCGGGTTGATGCTGGGGTGGCCATAAGCCGGCCACGGCACTCCAGTCTGGGCAATGGAGTAAGACTCCAACAAAAAAAAAACTAAAAAAAAAAAAAACTCTATAGTTAGTTCAGTAGTATTAGGTAGTTCACACCATTGTACAACTAATTCCCAGAACTTTCTCATCTTGTAAAACTGAAATTCTATTCTCATTATGCAATTTCCCATTTCCTCCTCTCCCCAGCCACCATTTTGCTCTTTTGTTTCTATAACTTTGACTACTTTAGATATCTAATACAGGTGGGATCATACAATATGTTCTTTTTGTAGTAGCTTATTTCACTTAGCATAATGGTCTTAAAGTTCCCCCACATTGTAGCATGTGTCAGAATCTCCTTCCTTTTTAAGGTTGAATAATATTCCACTGCATGGATGTACCACATTTTGTTTATCCATTTATCTGTTGATGGGCATTTGGGTTGCTTTCACCTTTTGGTTATCGTGTATAATGCTGCTATGAACATAGGTGTATAAATATCTTTTGAAGACTTGGCTTTCAATTCTTTTGGATAAATGCCAAGAAGTAGAATTGCTAGATTATGTGGTAATTCTTTTTAAAATTTTTTTTGAGGAACTGTCATATTGTTTCCATAATGGCTGCACCATTTTACATTCCCACCAACGGTACACAAAAATTTCAGTTTTTCCATATCCCCACCACCACCTGTTATTTTCTCTTGATAACAGTAGCCATCCTGTTGGGTGTGAGATGATATCTCATTGTGGTTTTTATTTGTATTTCCATTATGATTAGTGATGTTGAATATCTTTTCACATGCTTGTTGGCCATTGTGTATCTTCTTTGCAGAAGCATCTATCCAAGTCCTTTGCCCATTTTTCAGTCAGGCTTTTTTTTTTTTTTAACTGTTGAACTGTAGGATCAAAGAGCAGAAACACTTTTAGGCTCTTGATAAAAACTAGAAAACTCAGTTCTAGGCAGCTGGTACCTTGCGTCCCAGACCGTGAGAGTGCCTGGGATACAGTAGCCTGATCAGCATTGGCTATTGCAATAAAAAGAACAAATGTAAACTTCACTAATTTAGTAGGCAAAATATGGAATCTATACATTTTTGTGGAGGCAGAGAGGAGAAGTTAATCAAGAAGCCTCGTCCATTCCACTCTCCGGTAACATCAGAGGAAGGTCTTAGACTCTCTGACTCATCAGTTACTCTGTATGCTGAGTATGAACAAACACCCAGCCCTGTTGGTCCTCCTAGAAAATCTTCACCTCTGGGCAACCACATTCTTTTTTTTTTTTTTTTTTTTTTTGAGTTGGAGTCTTACTCTGTCGCCCAGACTGGAGTGCAGTGGCCGCTCCCGGCCACCGCAGCCTCGACCTGCTGGGCTCCGGCGATCCTTTCGCCTCAGCCTTCCAAGTAGCCAGAATTACAGGCATGCGCTACCACGCCCGGCTGATTTTTTGATTTATTGTAAAAATGAAGTCTCGCTGCCCAGGCGGGTCTTGAACCCGCGGGCTCAGGCAATCCACTCACCTCAGCCTCCCAAAGGCGCGGGATTACAGGCTGAGCCACCGAGCCCGGCCACATTCTTTATTCACATTAATATTAACGACTAGGCTGTGTGTTATTCCTATAACTCTTTTCAGCCTTATTTCCTTTTCCAATAGTTTGAGGACACACCAATATGCAATCTTTTCTCTCTTTTATTAACAAGGATAAAATACTAAAGGAAAAAAATTAAATGTCATGGGATATAATCCTCTTTCTTTCTTTCTTTCTTTCTTTCTTTCTTTCTTTCTTTCTTTCTTTCTTTCTTTCTTTCTTCTTTTTTAAATTTGAGTTGGAGTCTCACTCTGTTACCCAAGCTGGAGTGCAGTGGCACACTCACGGCCACCACAGCCTTGACCTGCTGGGCTCAGTTGATCCTTCCGCCTCAGCCTTCCAAGTAGCTGGAACTACAGGCATACACCACCACACCCGACTAATTTTTTGGTTTATTGTAGAGATGAGGTCTTGCCAAATTGCCCAGGTTGATCTCAAACCCATGGGCTTTGGCAATCCTCTCACCATGGCCTCCCAAAGTTTTGGGATTATAGACATTAGCCACTGCGCCCGGCCTAATCTTTTTCTTTAAATATAAGTTTCAATTTTGTGAAACAGAAAATTCATTCATTACTTTAAAAATTGCTCACTGACAGTCACATTGTTTTCTATGAAATAAAAAAGATGTGACGATTAGGAAACAGATAATTCTGAATTACTTCCAGTGTACATATACTGAGAACTCCCAAGAAGGTGGCAAACACATCATACAAGTCAATGAACTAGAACATATCAGTACCAAATTTAGAAATGATATGCTTGAATCTACTATATTTTGGTTTGGACCAAGTTTCAAAGTGATACGTTTTTGTTTTAACACCATCATGTCTGTCATATTTTTGAAAATTGTTCATAAAAACGTAAGCTGCAATAGTAGAAAAATAGAGTCCAGACAGAAAAATAGTAGAAAAATAGAGTCCAGACAGTGAAAATAATAGTTTTAATTCTTGTCTGTCAAGCCTTCATATGGTACACGGAATTCAATGTTGTACCCTACTCTCCAATCAAGCTACTGAAGGGGACACAGGGAAGACTTAATGGAATTGGAGATGTCTGGGCCAGAGACAAGACTCAAGCCACTGTGATTATTGGAGGGGTTGGCAAGGGAAAGACTCCAGAAAACAGAACTTGGATATGTGTATTGAGTTCTCAAGGAAACGAATTTCACCTTCAATGTGAGAAAATACTTCCTAATAATCAGAACTCTCCAAATAATGAGAGTGATCCAAAACAGGACTGAGCCGACTAGGGAGGCAGAGCCCTGGGGAGCGTTCATACAAAGAACAACCTGTCCTAGAGGATGTCATGGGGGAGATTCAGACACCACAGGGAGGCTGTGCAGTTCCTTCTAAGCTAAACATTCCTGGATTCTCTCACTTACTCTGAGACAAACTTCATTTATGCTTGGAACTACTAACTATATATAGAATACCCAAACTCACCCGCAGTAATGGCACTGGTTGTAAAGAAAATATGATTAACAGGCACCACCGTCGTTGTGTTGTAGAGTTTCGTGGCTTGATTCAGGAACCTAGAGCAGAAGGCACTTACTGAGCGGCTCTGGCTTTCAGAGACCTCAGCAATAAGTTCACGATCACTCCAAGAAATGCATGTTCTTTAGCTACAACTACAAAGGAGAAGGAAGTGCAGTGCAAGGGCATTTCCAATCAGCAGTCATAGCTCATGTGCATCTGATGTATGAGATCAGATGTCAGGTTTTATGGTCTGTTTAAACCAACAACAGTAACAATGAAAAGCAATTAATCATATTCCGAGGCCACAGAAGTTTGAGTTGGAAGTGATTCAAGCTGCTGGACCAGTATCACACTGGGGCCGATTCATTAGGATAGATCCTAGAATCTGTTAAATATCATATCTGGGGAATAGTATAGCTATCCATTGACATGCCACGTGCCAAGAAAGAAGATGGAGAAGCAAAGGAATGTTTAATGTTTCTAAAACAATGCTCAGCCTTCCAGCTGCAGAGCACATGTGGGAGCTCAGCGTCTCTCTCTGGCCACCAACGTGAATTGAGGTTCCCATAACTGCACAATAGTCTGTCAAGGGCTAGACTATTTTTCAAAGTGGTGAATTGTGCTGATATTACTCAGGTGCTTTAAGAAAGAAAGCACTAATGTTTAGGTCCTACTCTAGAGCAATTGAAGAAAAAAACATTATGGGAAAAACCCAGGGGTAGGGGTGTGTGTGTGTGTGTGTGCACTTACACACACACAGGCATATGTAGGTATACATACATGCATGTGTATAAACAAATGTCTTCAGGTAGTTTTAATGGACAACCAGGTTCTGAGAACCACAGTTCTACAGTGTGATGGGTGCAGGAACTGAAATAAGGGTAATAGGATATAGTTGACCTTCATTTGTGTCTGCTGTCCAAGTTTATAAAGCATGGTATAGAGATAATGACACTCATCACCAAATCCCAAAGGATATTGTAGCAGTAACAATTAATTCAGAAGAAGAAAAAGAAAAGAAACAAAATAGCAAGGTTCAAGTATTAGAAACATACTCAATCTTATAAGGAAATAACAAAACATTGAGTTTCTGCAGTAACTCACCACAGACTTTGAAGCAGGTCCTAGATTCAGCTCATTATACCAATTAGCCTTTACTTCTAACACCTACAGAAAGAAGCACTCTTGTTCTGAGTATGAGCTCTGATTTCCCAGCTAACACAGGAATGGTGCTTTTTGCATAGGATTTTGGGGTAGACAGAAAACTTTCGGGTTGACTCAAGAAAGCCTAGCAGACAAAGGCAGAATCCCAATGTGAAATGGAGGGGAAGTGATTGGAGCAGATGGGGGTGGGGGGGCAGGAAGAGCAGAAATTAAAAATGTTCCATGTCACCACTATTAGGCCCCAAGAGAAACATAAAACAATCATTCTGCAATCCCAGGGGTACGAAGAAAATTCTGGCCAAAGATGCAAAGTTCTGGGGAAAGGATTTCCCTCCGGCCAAACGTCTGGTTTCGTCCATCTCTGGGCAATTAATGAGCATGAGCTAAGAAATAAAGGTGAAAGGTTCATGTATATCCTATATTTAGAATGAAATCCTGGATGTAGACCTGCCCCTTTGATTTATTGCTAATGACAACCTGTGTATGATGGATATTAATTACAAGCAGAAGAGCATCAGGAAAGTATCAAAGCACACTTAGCTGGATTAGGGCTGCACTTTAGAACTCACAAGACATGAAGGCAATGCTCAGTAAAAACTCATTATTGGATGCAAAGGACAAAGCAAGGCATGTTGGCTGAGGATAAGCTATAGGCCCTTCTACTCTTAGAAATCAGTCGGAGCTAATTTTAATTGTCATCTGAAGCCAATAAAGATGAATGCTTCGAGAAGTGCAGGAATGTTGAAAGATTAGTGAGTATGTAGAAGCTAACTTACTTGACTTGGAAAACACAAGATGCTACCATGATGATAAACATGATATAGAAGATGGGATAAGTTAGCTGCATTTTATCCGTCACAGAAAAAGTGATCATGCCTGAGACAGCTTTTACTGAAATAACAGTCAATGAAGCTGAAAAAGAAAACAAAAAACACATAATACATATTTGACACAGAATTACGGATAAATATCTTATGTTTACGTGCAGAGTTGCAAATACACCAATTAGGCTTTAAGAATGAACACAGGTGTGAGAGGTATAGGGGAGGACATGACATTGATCAAGCAGTAGGCCTGTTGCTCTAGCTGTGCTGGACTTGAAATTCACTTAAATCAGCTAAAGATCTGCTGTGTGACTGGGTACTTTTAAATCTTTGGAGCAAGAAGCTTATTTTTTAGCTATAACTGTTGAAAGAATGTGGCAGAGGTTCTAATTACTAGTAGATGGGACAGGTGAAGAAGTGAAGATAAGAAAAGTCAGATTGTCCATGTAACATTCATGGGAAAATATTAAACTATCCTAAAAAAAATTAAAACAAATAGGTCAGAAGACTGGAAAGTGAAAAGAAACTTTACTAAGAGTTGTACCAAGTCATCACTTCTCAGCCTTCTGATTAGGATCAAGTGAGTTGCACTAAGTCTGTGTATGAGCCTTTTTGTTAGTAGATGCTTAGAAGTTTCATTAAAAATATTTTTTGACAAAGACAATAATTGGAAGCAGGATCAGAGCTGAGTATTCATTTCTCAAAGCCAACTATACATCTAAGAGTTACATAAGCAGTATCTGTTTTTTTTCTAGGCTAAAGAGGAATCCATTGCTTATGAGAACAAACTTCTCATAGGTTCGGAATAGCAATTAAGAAAAAGGAGTTTGAAAGTTTTTATCACTAGAGTAATGGTAAAACCACATTTCTGTAGGAAGAATATACTGCTTTCTGTCTTACGTCCCTTGAAATTACTGTTGTAAATAATCCCATAATTTAGCTAAAACCCACAGAAAGTTAAAAAGTAGTTTTTACATGAAATCAAATAATTCTAAGTCAAAGGCAATGTAAAGGAGAAATATTCCCTTTGTTGCTGCAGATCTACCTGGTCATAACATATCTGAGCTTTCTTCCTTTTATATGAATATGTTTAAAACAGCAAATTATGGCCAACTAGGAAGAACCTCCTATAATTTCCTTTTCCAAAAACTGAAAATACACTTTAAGTTGAGGGGTACTAGGACATATTTCCAAATGAGGCATTTTATCTTGGGTAAAAATAATAAACAATAGAGGAGATCTGACAATAAATTCTAAAAACAGACTCCCAATCTGAACAAAGAGAACCTCACAACCAGGTCCCTCTCCATCTTAAAATGTCTTTCAACCTGATCCTTTTGCATATTTCTGACTGATTATGGCAATAGTCACATCTTAGTAACCTAGGAATTTTAAATATCTGTAGAGATCTGTATGTCACCTGATGGTTTAAATTTGTAGGCTAGCTCTTAAGGGACCTTGATTTCCTTCTAAACACTTTGCCTGAAATCAGAGCACAATGTGGTTGGTCTTGTGGTCTGAGCAGCCAGGTTTCCCAAAGGGACAATTAATGGAGAAGGCGTTGAACACACTGGCCCATTAGTCTCGGAACCTCAGAATTGCAAAGGACCTTAAAGGTCATCTAATTTACCCACATATCTGATTTTAAATTATACTTAAACACAGAACAACACTAGAGTTTTCATTAAGTTGTAAAACAATCAATTTTTACAGTTAATCATTATATTTTTAAAGCATGTACAAATGCCAAATGATTAATCACTATTTATTTTAATTCTGCAAGCTATTTCTAGGCTGGTATTGAATATGTCTAATTCTTTTTTGAGGGGGTGGATGGTTGATGAAGACAGATGGAAATACAAAATTGTAATGTGGTATCATCCTAATGTTGTACACATAAAAATAGAAAACACTTATGTATGCACAGAAAAAAAGGCTAGAAGAAATGACATCAAGATACTGTCAATGGTTATTTCTAGCACTGGGATTATGAATAAATTTTAAACTCATTTTTTAAAAATCTATAAAACTATGCATGTTCATTTAAAAAAATTGGAAAATGTGGAAAATCCTGGAAAGAAAAACTAAAATCATTTGTAACCTCAGCACTCAACCCAAATCATTTTTAACATTTGGACACATAGTTATTTTCCTAACTGTAAGTAAGAATATATCACAGCATGTGAATCATATGGAATACGCTACTTAGGAGCCTGTTTTCCAAATATATACTACTTTGGAACCTATTTACCAAAGTATTTTATTGGCTATAAAGAATGCTTTTGTATGAATGTACAACTTATTTAGACAATTTCCTACTTTTGTATATTTAAAGTGTATCCATTTTTTTACTATTAAAAATGAAGCTGTGACGAATATTCCTGAACATAAATCTTTGTGTATCACTCTACCTATTTCCTTAGGAAAATCACCCAGAGGGGAATTACTGTGTTGACAGCCACTGTGAAGGTTTCTGAAATATATCAGCAAACTGCATTCCAGAGAGTATCAGTTCCACTTTGTCGTATTGTGCTACAGTATGCAATTACACAGATTTTTATATTTGTCTTTCTCTATTTTCTTAATTATCAACAATATGCATATATTCTTTTCATCATTATAACACCATTTTTTTCCAAGCATGTGCTGACCCATTTTTGAAATTTATTCTGTTGGTTCTTAGTTCTTCATCAATAGCCCCTTCCAAAAATTTTCCTAAATCGTCATTGATATTTTCTTATTAGAGCCATAAATATTTTATTTATTAATTTGGTTCTGATAACCAG